ATATGCTCTTCTTATATAGTTTGAATAATAAGGATTGTGCAGAATGTTATCATTTATTCAGAACTAGAGCGCAGAAATGTTTTTGTTACTTTTTTCCTGAGAATTTTCGAATTCTATGGCCAAATCTAACCTATAAAAATTCAAATTAAAATCCTTATAATTTTGGATTGCTTCAGTGAATCGACTTCGGCTTTTGTCTTAAGTTTTTCAATAAAATTTTGTTTTAGGTTTATTGCAATATTTTTTAATTATATATATATGTTATTTCAATTTTTGACCAACAATGTATGTATATTTATACACTCATAATTGTGGAATATATTACTTTATAACTTGAAAATTTTATCAATTTTTAGAAAGCTATAGATATATCAACTTTTAAGAATTATAGGACAATTTTTATAAATATATTTTAAAGTATGAAGTCTTGACTTCAAAATAATTAAAGTGATATTTTATGTTATCAAAATATTTTTTTAATGAAAATCTAAAACATGTAAGGGGTTTGAAAATTTCACAGCTTTACAGTATTCGATAATAAAAGGAAGAATAAAAAATATTATCATATATTTTCACGTCGAGAACTTTTCCTTTATATACTTATTTAAAACAATTATTTATATCGTATTTAAAAGAAGACAATAAAAACAATAGGATTCGAATCTGGGAACTAAGATATCCAATATTTTAACCGTCTTTTTATAATTATACTTGATTACATCAGTTATTTGCATTTTAGATTTACGAACGTGATATATGTATAAAATGTGTAGATTTTAAGTAACATAATATCTCGTTAATTATTTTGTATTGGACATTTGTGTTATTGTAAATTAATGAAACAGATGTAATATTATTCAAAAATCTCATATAAACATTGATTTTCTTCTTATTAACTAAAATCTGTAAAATCTTATAAGATTTTAGGATTACAGAATTTATTTTAAAGTATAATAATTCAGCTTTTTAATGTATTAAAGCAATATTTCTAACGTTGTTTTAAAGATAAAGTTCCCAATTTAAAATCTATACAATGATATTTTTCTAATCCTTACTTTGCGTATAGAAGATCGCAACGTTGTGTAAGTTCCAGGATTCTAATTGTAAGATGATTTCTAAAGTGCCATCCTTCTTTAACTTGGCGACAAATATATTATCTCCTATTGTTAGTCTTTTTATATAGAAGTTAAAGCATAGCTTTTTAAAAATCGACAAAATTTGTAGATTTGGTAATTTCTTGTAATGATTATATGTAGTATATTATATTATTTAAGGATGTATTACGCTAATTTTTAAAATAAAGAAGGAGATAATTATTTACATTATGTATACAGAATGTGAACAGAGACAGATAAATTTTTCAATTGCAAAAGTTTATAGATGCTGATACATTGATAGATCTCCATTATATACAGTTACATTTTATTATATTTTCTGTTTACATTTGCAAATATAATAATGCTATTTTCAGAATTTTTGATGAGATTTTTTTATGGGATGTTTGCATATGAGTAATAACTCAATAAGCAAAAAACATTAAAATAACATTTAAAAACCATAATTTCATGTGTAATTTTCAAACGTTTTTAAATAATATTATAGGTATATATGTTTTGAAAATGTTATGTAATAACATAGAATTTATTGAACACTAACATTACAACATAGATGTACACGTTTGATTATTCTCTAAAGAAAGTAAAAATAAATATATGGCTACACTTATTGTACGAGATACTATATGCAGTGAATATAAGAAAAAGTTACTCTCTTTTTCAAAATATATAGTTCCAACTTTACATTGCTCTTAATTGTTCGGTATTTTCATACACCAATCAGCATTGCGGAAAAGCGACAACAATACACTTCAAGAAGCGAATATCGATGTCATGCCTTTTTTTAGATAGGATAAAAATGTTTTAGAAACATTATAATGCAAATATTTTTTGAGAATTACTCTATTATTTATTTTAGGTTAATATAATATATTTATTCGGAGTACAAATAAGTCTCCGCCGTTTTTTATCAAAAATTCGGCATTTATTGTGAAAGAACGGTATCTATAATGTTTTATTCAAAGTATTGTCCATCGCTAGGATGATTTGGCACGAATCTTCATCTAATAATGCTTCCAATTTCGCGTCTTTGTACACTTTCGGCCTTCCGCTTCTTTGCCTTCAACGTCAAATTCACCGTTCTTAAACTTTTGAAACCACTCACGGCAATTTCTATCACTTAAGGCAGCCTCACCATATGCTTCTACAAGCAATCGATGCGCCTCAGCTGCAGATTTCTTCAAATTAAAGAAGTACTACTAAATCAAAAGTTCCTGATGTAAATGACGCTTATTCGGCTTAAAACTCGACATTTTTGCACGAAAAGAAATATATGATATAAAATCGCTAATATTTCAAGGTTACGCTGACAGGTGTCCAACCTTACGATATAACGTTTTACAGCAGGCGATTTTAACCATAACATATTGGTGGCGCCATTTTTTGTCTAATGGCGGAGACTTATTTGTACTCCTAATATAATAGTTAAAAATTATAATAGTTATCTTAAAATAATGTTAGAATTATATGAAGTTTTTGTTATTATAATATTTTTAATGTAATTTATGTTTAATAATTAAAAATTGTTTATCATTTTTACTTTAAAACAATGTTGGAAATTATATAAATTTTTTATTATGTGTTCGCATATATATATATATGTGTATGTGTGTGTGTGTGTGTGTGTGTGTGTGTGTGTGTGTGCGCGTGCGTGCGTGCGTGCGTGCGTGCGTGCGTGCGTGCGTGCGTGCGTGCGTGCGTGCGTGCGTGCGTGCGTGCGTGCGTGCGTGCGTGCGTGCGTGCGTGCGTGCGTGCGTGCGTGCGTGCGTGCGTGCGTGTGTGTGTGTGTGTGTGTGCGCGTGTGTGTGTGTGTGTGTGTATATCTATATATACACTGTATATATGTAACTGTTTTAATTGTTTAATTATATAACCTGTTATCTGTTGAACTTAAAATGTTTGAAATGTCCTATACAATTATAAAAGTAATATAATATTAATATTAAATGCCTATTATGTGAATATGTGTGTGTTATATTTTAATGATAGTGAATAAATGGCACGCGCGAAGCGCGCGCTTTGTTTTGTTTTAGTATAACAAATTAACGATGATATTTGATAATTGTTAATTATAATTAAGATTTAAAAATCAAAATGAACTATTGCATTTGTTTAAAATCTATTATTTAATAATTGGGTTTTAACGATGATATGTGAAATCTATTTGTATGTAAATTGTTAATTAAAACTGAGAAATCGGACTAAACTATTACATTTGTTTTAAGTATATTATTTAATAATCGGATAAAGATATTAGTGATTCATCTCTTTGATAATTGTTATTTAGCATTAATAAATTCAACGAAATAAGTTTTAAACTTCTCACGCTATTTATTTGTTTATACCGCGATATTTAACGAAAGTTAACGGTGATATCTAAGATCTATCTGTGCAGTAATTGTTAATTAGGACTTAGAAATCAGTTTAAACTATTGCAATTGTAATATATTTTTTAAAACACTATATATAACTTTGTCAAAAAAAAATCGTAGAAAAATGATCAAAAAATGGATTTGTTAGCAAATCAATGAGTTTGAAAACTTATAAATTTTTATGCCAAGCAGCCAACTTCCCTGACTAGCGCAATAATTTAAAGAAAATTTTTTTCCCTACTTTTCTAAGTCTGTCTTCAACGTCCGCCATTTTATAAAGCATTTCTGAAACTCAATTTTGATTTTCTTAGTTATTAGTGGGAATGTTCAAGCTTTAATTTGAACTCAGGTTCATCTTGATATGATGATTTTTTATAAAGTTATCGCTATTGAAAGATGTTAAAAATTTGAGCTAAAATTTAATCGTTTTTTTTGCGGATGAGTACGATAACATATATATGATTACGATAACATGTATATTGTACCTGATCGATGAGGAGATCATCGGAGTTCCTCGGCTAACTGGCAATGTCACTGGCGGATATAAATTGGCAACTTGCGGCTGTAAACCACAGTTGTAAAGCCTCCCAATTCCTTGAAAAATTATATTATTGTATTGTTCAGTGCGTCGAGTCAATAAAATGTTCGTAACCTCTGGATGTAAAGATTCTTCCAAAATTTGCTGCAGAACGCCGTATGGTGCGATCTCGATGGTCACAGCGTTACATGGAATTAAATATCTTGCTTGTTCAAAGAGAACAGTGTTTAGTATACTATGTGTATGATAATCCGCCGATGATAATTTTGTTGCTGAAGTATGCCATTCGGCACAAGGTATGGAAGTGCTGATCCATTTTGGACTTTGTTTTTTCGGATGTGGTATTATTTTGTTCAAATTGGACAAGAGCTGAGATTTCACGGATGCGAGGTAAGAACTGTGATATGGCACGTTACAGTGGATCTCTTTTACATAAATATTATTAACCTGATAATTCAAAAATATAAATTTAACACATGCAGGTGTAAAAAATTATGGCTCGAATTTACGGATTCGATATTTTTTAAATTATTAGGCAAAGTTTTGCATTATATTATAAAATATGCAAGAGATATTCAATTCTGTACAAACCTGTAATTTTTTCATAAATTCTTGCATGGATTTTACGGGACCAGTAACAACGCTATTGTTCTCACTATTGCGGCATATTATTTCAATATCCGCTGGACATATATTTTTAAGGTTCTCGTAATTAATACTGACAATTGCCATAGAGCTACGAATTAATTTTGCTTCGGCACACGCCAAACCAATAAAGTATGCTGATAAAATAGTTTGCTCAGTGGTGAGACATTTATCCGCATACGCGCAACCCAGTTCACCAGCAGAATGACTAATCATGTAATCCGGAGTAATTTTTAAGGATGTTAAGATATCTACTAAACCGATCTGCAAGTATACATATATACCAATAATTAGTTGGACAAAATATTTTAAAAACTTACTATTAATAAAATAATAAAATGTGAAAAATAAATCTAGTAAGATGCTAGTTTTATACACAGTACATTAACGATATAAAAAATTTATATTTATCGAATTTGTTTCATTAATAAATTTAATCAATATATTTTAATACATAGCTTTGAAATATAATATTTTACCTGAACAGCGACAATTCCGAGAAACATGTATAACGAGTTTTCGCACACATTTTCTTCTGCATTTGTCAAAATGTCCGTGACACTTATATTATATGGTTTTAAAACATCATCGCACATTCTTATTGCATTTGCAAAGACTTGAAATTTTAATAAATATCGACCTGATGTTAATTTAAAACTGATATTAATTTTTTATTTAGAACTATTATAAATAAAATATATAATATTATAAAAATATATTATATACCCATTCCTGGCCATTGCGACCCTAAGGCTGAAAATATAAAGCAAACAGGTCTTTTTACATTTTTACAACTTTGAATTTCTTTTATTGATTCTTGTTGTAAAGTATTTAGTATAATATACCCTCTCCATGGATGACCATCTATATTGTCTGAGTAAACATCGTGTAGTAAACGAATATATTCTACATCTATTTGATGATTAGCAATCTGCAATGATAAATTCTTTTTAAATAATACAACGTAATATTTCTAATTGTCCAAAATAATTTCAATTGGGTTTTTAAAAACATACTAACGTCATTTAAAAACAATTTTACTGATTCCTTAGTGCGTCCAGATAATATTACAAGTCTTGATAAATCATCATTTGGCGCGCTATTATTAACTTTCTGTTTCGGATTCCACTTTAATAGCACATGAGCGTTTGCCCCCCCAAAACCAAAAGAACTGATACCTATGTAACCATTTTTAAGTGGCAACGGTTTGTCGACGACACGAACAGTTCCGTTTATCAAAGCATTTACGTCATTCCTTGGCGATGTGTAATTGATATTTGGCGGAACAAAACCGGTTTCAAATGCTATTATTACCTTCAAAAATTAATAACAATTTTAATTATAAAAACACTCATGGAAAAGATTTTCGGATACAACGCTATAACTCTTTGATTTATCACAAAATAGGAGCGATAT